TATTTACAATTATGAAAGAAATGATCACATTCTCTCATGATTTGAACATGTATCGCGTATTGTAGACAAGATATTCTCGTATTGTTTTGTAGTGAACGAGAACACAGGTGGGGCAACCGAATTGTATTTAACGAAAATTACAGAGTTACTCACTAAAATCGGAAAACAATATCGTAAATCGTTAATTTGCAAAATATCAGTTCATCATGTCGAACTGGACTGTTCCTGTTGCAAAACACCAATCCATTGTCACTATTCATACAAATTCCATTGTGTTCTAACTTTTCCTTTCTTGATCTTCCCCCATCTTCTGCTGCCAGACATTACGTTGACACTCACGTCATATACTACTTATGAGTAGCTGGCACCACAGTTTCATGATATAACTTTGAAGGTGATATGTACAATGATTATTTTTAGACATTCGATAATTGGATCATGATATTTAGGTATCAGCAAGTATTCTATACTGTTTTGATCAAATCTAATTGCACAGCTAATGATATCTTTGTCTATAATGTCGAGTAATATGAAATGAAGAGCCTTAAAAATTTATTTCAGTCTGAATACTGAACAGTGTAACGCAATTTACGATAAACTAATAGGAAACAGAACAAACTATAGACTATCAGCTACTGGATAATGTAAGCGATGTAGTTCAAAATAGAACAACAGGTTAGTAAAACTGAATATTTTTTGTTCTAATAAAATAACAACCCTATCAAATGTTTTCTAGAATAAATATATGATAACGTAAAATGGTAGAGGCAAGTGCAACAACAACCAATCAAGATCGAGGTTAACAGAACAAGCTACGGGTCAAACATGGAGAAATTCGAATACTTCACTTCTATCTAAAGTTTTTTTCTGATAACGTTGTTCCAAGGAATAGTGTAAGCTCCACAACCGAAACATTCAGCTCAGTGAACGAAACTTTACCACAATCATCCATCTGAGCTAAAACGTTTCTCCGATATCTTTAAAGTATTATAGTTAGTAGTTGCTTTAAAATCAGTAACAACTTGTTTTCACTTTGGTCAGTATAAATGAACCACAATACAGTGTTACGGGGTTGTGAAGATTGTTAAGTTACACATTTTTTTTGAAAGCATGAATCGATGAATGTTAGACCAACACCATTAGAAACCTGGAAGCACTGGATGGCCGTCAAGTCCTGGTATGGGACACCTCAGCGGTGCGCACCTCGAGTCCGCACCTCGCAGGACTCGAACTCAGGACCTTCGGTATTGTAGGCGAACGCCTAACCATCGGACACTGAGCTGGCATCTGACGGTATTAATTTCTAACTTGATCAATTCGCGGATTTGCGCAACCTCATACACAGTTTTCGGTAGTAACTGTCCTCAACCAAACAGGTTGAACTTCACTGGTCACGTCTTCGCACTAGGAACTCGGAGAATATTCCTCCCGAAGCTAGTCACTAGTGAGCACAGGTAATTTGCATTACGGGCTTGTTGTGAAGATTGTTAAGTTACACATTTTTTTAAACCATGAATCGATCAATGTTAGACCACCATTAGAAACCTGGAAGCACTGGACGGCCGTTTCGTTCTGGTATGGGACTCCTCGCAGAATACAGTAAGCAAATCAGAACAAGATGGATCCATTTATTTCACAGGTTCTCTTTCAACTTGCTAAAACAACCTTAAATGATATTATTGATCATTTAAAAGGACAGAATTGTTGCCTGCTCAATTATCTGAATCACTCATTTTTCTAACATTTTAAATCCACTTGTTTTAAATTTATTCAAACTAAATAACATGATACTACCATCATGTTTATTAACATTTTCCCATACAGTTACTATAAACCTCGACTACTTCTACATGTAAACTGAACTAGTAGAGAGAAGGTGAGAATTGAACGTAAGAGCTTTACCCAAGCTTAGCTTAAATAGAAAAATTTAAGGGTATTTCGAAAGTCATATGTGACCTTGAAGCTCTAGAGAGTCTTGACTAAACATATTAGCCGTATGAGTAACGACTCAATCCAAAGCATAACACATGATTCAACCGTTTTCAGATGCTTCTGCTAAGCTTCAATTCAATGTTGATTGGATGAAAACCAGTTGTTGACAATCTCATAGCCTCCAGTATCGCTGATCAAGACTATTTTTCGGGAACCCGCAGTAATATATATATGAATACTGATTTGTACATTACTTGTGCCTTACTAGAGACGAACAACAAGTAGACATTCTTCAATCTCTGACATAGTTCCTTTATTATTAATCCTTAGGAAAAAAGCAAGACAGAAATTTATCAAAATGAAACCCCCCTATATATATATATGATAGATAAAAAGAAAATAAGTTACATGCTGTTGACAGAATCTAACTGTTTAGAGGATTTTGCAGATAGTGTTTTGAAAAATTTCATTTCGAACAAACATTAAAGCGATATTTGTTGGTAAATTGTAACAAATGATACCGACAATTGTGTATTGTAACAAAATTATTAGTTAGTTAATGCAAAGAGATTTTCGGATTTTTCTTTTTGAAGTCTAAATCACAAACCGATCTTAATTCAAAACAACTAAGAAGGACTAGAGATCCGTTTTAATTTTTGTTCTCTATTTTGAGACACTTCAATGGCGATGAGCATCTACAACCTCATCGGGAATCAAATCTAGAGCAATGATTACTAGACTTTTAATACGAGGTACCTACCACGATGGAGCATTGGTCGCAGACTAGCTTTCTTCAGCTTACTCTGTCTTGAACTTTCCGTCCCAGTTCTGTCCAATTTTTGTTCATTCTTTTCATTTCTTTCTATATAATTCCATGGCCTTCCTCCTTTCCTTTGACCTTGAAAGGGATTCAAGTGAGGGCTTGTCCTGTGACGCAGTTATGTACTTTACACAATGTGTGTCCTATCCACTCTCAACGCTTCTACCTGATTCTCTCCTCCACAGGAATATAGTTTGTTCTCTCCTAAAGTAGGTTGTTGCCGATACTATCTGGCCAACGGATCCTCAGTATTTTGCGCCGATCTGCGCCTTTACATCTGCATCGGATCCACCTTGCTTGTCAATAATGCTGTTCAGATATGTAAAGGTTTTTGCGTCCTCCAAGGAATCTCCATCAAGAGTGTTATGATTGACACATGTTGTGTTGTATCGGAGAATCTCGCTTTTCCTTTCATGTATGTTGAGAGCTGCCGCTTGAAGTATGCATACAATAGTCTTATTATTAATTGTATTCTACCACTTTCAAGTTGTATACGCCTTTTTAATAGAGAATTCACGACAGTAGATAAAGAATCGACTAATTTTAAACCGGTTACGTTTGTCAGTCTTACTTTATACAGTTAATTTTGTTGAAGAATATTAGTTTAGAGTAAATCTTTCTTAAAATTATCTTCTGTACAGAACTAAGAACAACATGCTAAATACAGTAAAGTCATTTATCAAATTTGGATAAATTTCAACGGCAGAATTTATTAAAAAGAAACATTAAATTCTTAATTGTTTTTGATTGAATCGCTTATATTTTCTCCAAACATCTGATATAAAAATAAATTCCTTGTTGATTCAGAGATGCCATATTGTTACGCATGCACGTAAACACGTCATTTTGATATGCTTGAATTATTAATATGATTTTACCTTAGTCGGAAAACAAGAGAGAGGATCGAGGATCCGGTGACATGACATGCTACTCTAAACCGATTTTCCCAACCCCTATTGAATAAAAGAAGAAGACTTAATATGAAGTGGAACATGTATTCTACAAGTATCCAGAAAGTACGAGGTCCAAGTCCGGAAGAAGGCAAGGATCCCGGACTGAGGATCCGGGTCCGAGTCCGGGTCGTAAAACGTTACAGATAATGCGTATTTATACATTTAGGTCGAATAGGAAACAACATATAAAGTGACACAGAAATTCAGGACGACTAATAAGAAACAACATTAGAGTAGTTGACATTGATATCCAGGACGATCGTAAAACTGACCATTCGAAATTGACCAATAGGAATTGACCAATAATTCTCTTAGGATATTGGATGAATACCCTAACACATATTACTTGCAAAAATTGTACAATTTTAATGCAAAGTAATATCTGAAAGAAAAAGGATCTTAAGAGAATTAAGGAAAGAATCTGAAAAATAAGTAATTCATCAGTAGTGTTCATCGTTGCATATTGTAAGTTTCATGTCAAGGAATCAATCTGTACAGCTGCATAGTTCTGGGGAGAAGTTAGGACCAGTCGAGTTCAACGCTGTACCGATGTGAAGTAGTTATCATGGAAGATAGTGTATGCGGTTGCACAAGACTTTCAGGTTGAACGAAGTTAGACAGTTACACCGTTAGATACCGGCTCAGTGGTCTACAAGTAAGGTGTTCGCGCACAAAACCAAGTATCATAGGTTCGAATCCTACGAGGTACAGGAATCGTGGATTTACACTGCCGATGAGTCCCATACGAGGACGAGAAAGCCGTCTAGTGCTTTCAGATTTCTAATGCTGGTCTCACATTGATCGATTCATGATGGGACAATAAGTTACAGTCTCAAAACTTTGATGTCAACTAATTTCTATGTAATACGTCATCTGTTTTTTAATGAGGTTTTCTCTTCAAAACTGAAAATCAATTTTCATAGAAAGCTATCCTTTTCTTTTTTGTTGATGTTTATTTCCAAGATGTTACTACACATTGACCGAAACTTGTCAATATTTTTAGAATATATTAACAAATTGTATTATATATAAATATATATGTACATTTATATGTCCCAACATCTCTATAGTTTTCTATTGTACACTTTTTGTAATAAATTACATCGTATTCAATGATTCTACAATGTGTAATGTATGTTTAACTCATGCTAATCTTATCTTACTTACATAACCAATTAAATACAAAATTAGGACATCTAAGAAAGCTGATAAATTATGCACAAAAATGTGACTCATGTGATATCAGTTATGTATATAAATGACGATGAATACATTAGTGGGCAGTCAAATTAGCTGAAAATATACACATATTATAGTCAGTTTCATTGGATAATCACAGTATAGATTTGACAGATTTGGTCGAATCCGAAAATGATATTTGATTATTTAAAACACCATATTAGTTCTTCGATAGAAGATTCTCTTTGTTGTATGCCAGTGAAATGAGGGGACAGCGATTACGTAATGCTGTTAATGTAAGTTATTGGTTATATACTACTAATCAGTTTGTAATATTGCTTATTCTGTCTGTATTAATAAAATAGCAATCAATTTTTTACTTCTGTTTGATAAAAAGGATAGTTTCTTCAGAAATCAAAGGGATAAATTGTTGAAGACTTAGAAGCAGTACTGAAACATTTATGATCAATAGTGATTAGCTTCAATCAAACTTTATAGTGCGACTATCATAGTTAGCAAGTTTCAAACTTGGAGAAATAAGAACAACACATATAAGCGAACAATATTGTTTTCGATTAGATCGTCATCAGGCTTTACTATCTAATATACATGAATATTTATACTTGAAAATGTTAAACCAATCAAGGCAATGTGAGTGATAATCACAATGAAATGAAATAGAGATTACGTCACTACATATAATAGGCAAAAGTTCAAGTGGATAGTAAGAAGACAGGTGTACTGATAGTAGTAAGAAAATTATAAAATATGATAACTAAAGTTTTATCAATAGTAGGTCAAAGGTGGATGAATAGACATCAAATAAACATTAAAAAAACATTACGGGGTTGTGAAGATTGTTAAGTTACACATTTTTGAAAGCATGAATCGATCAATGTTAGACCACCATTAGAAACCTGGAAGCACTGGACGGCCGTTTCGTCCTGGTATGGGACTCTTCAGCAGTGCGTATCCACGACTCCTGCACATCAAAACATCAAAACCATTGCGTAATAAGCAAATATGTAAAAATAAAAATAAAATAAAATAAGATAAAAAATATATAATGTCAATCGCTAGTTACGTCATAGTCGGCCACGGAAGAGATAGGGGTGTCACGAATTTAATCTGAACACATAAATTGGGGTTGAATTTACGAATTCCTATGATTTCTGCTATGTGTAGGAGCCGGGATCGAACTCGGTTGGGAAATGATTGAGGTATACGATAGATCACCGAAAAGATCTAGACTTATCTACAATATGACCACTATCAACCAGGTGTGCTAAGACTGAACTGCGTTTTATTTTTGACTGACCCTTCTTAAACCACGCTGGGAGATGTTCACTCATTCGCTGGTTAAGTTGCCTGGTAGTACTCCCGATATAGCTATTATGTGTAGTTACGTAATCTTTTTCATTTCATTGTGATTATTGACTCAAATTGCCTTGATTGGTTTAACATTTTCATATAAATATTCACGTATATTAGAGTAAAACCTGATGACGATCTAATCGAAAACAATATTGTTCGCTTATATGTGTTGTTCTAATTTTCACAATGGGAATCTTTAATACTCTTAAATCATGTAGAAATAAAACAGCAATTTATCAATGAAATTGTATGAGTTATCGTGTACTGTTTAAAACAAAATGGTTACACCGAGTTTTCCTAACTAAATAGTTAAAGGTTGTTATATCTGATTGTAGGATAAACGATTAATGTTGGTTTAACTCGATAGGATATTGTAATCTAAATGTTAATGACGAGTTACAAACTATAAGAAATCAGTTAGTTCATGCGTACTAGGATTTCAACGGTTATTCAAGTAATGTAAAGGGATACTACCCCTAACTCAGGTCTCATATGGTCGAAAAATGAAAATTTCCGAAACGCGAAAAAATCATTGCCCGACATGAGACAAAAGTAATAGAAGTGTTTGGGGCTATTTGCATCAAGCTGGGCTGCCTCTTCTGCTATCCTGCACCATATATGTGTACACCATATGCTATACTGCTATATAGAGTTGAAGGTCTCCAATGAGACTAGAGGTTCGCAGTGTATATTGTGGATGGCTTGGCTTTGCTTTGGTAAGCATTGTTAACAGTCCATATACAAAATTGGTTAGCAGGGTCACCGATTTCATTGATATAGTTGGTTGTTTTGCGACATTTCCGAGGTCCATTGTCATCGGGGTGCTGTATTACATACCACCATTGCTAATAATAATGAGTTTGACAGTCACGTAAGTGGGATGGGTCGAAATGGCCTGTTCATGTGGTGCATGTTGATTGACGTGATCATTGATCGGAAATATATATACCATTGTGTGTATATGAAACGGTGTGAATGGTCCACCAGGGTATCAGGTACCTGTGTGGTTGCACCACAGGACTGAGCCGAACTGTTCATGTAGTATTGGTAAAACGTGTCCAGTCTCTATGGTTCTCCTGAAAACCAATGTAAAATTGCCCTAGACAATACAGGGTAAATTTATGTAATAATTAAGTAATGTAAACTAACTTGAATAAACTGAATAGATCATTATTTTAGAGTGAACAGATGGAATTCAGCAATTCAATGCTAGTGTTTACACCAACGCTGAAACCAAATGAGTTTCAGATACATTAAATCACTCAGTGAGTAACAAATCGGACTAAACGAGCATTCATCAATTCTACATAAACTTGTAACTGTTTAGCCATATCGAAGCTTTCCTTACAGAATCTAAATTTACCTAAAATATTTCAAAATTCGATCCTCGCTATAAACAATGAAATAATTCAAACCTCATTTTTAGCATTAAAATCTCTTATTTAATTTATTATTTATCCACTGAAAACGAACCGAAATTCCTTACTGTAAGAAAGAAGTTATGCTTTATTGAAATGTCAGCATTTTCACAACATCATTTTTATTTCGAATATTAAGCTATAATTTTCCATTTCAGACTAATATCAGTAGGAAATCAAGCGAAACTCATTTAGCACACTACAGTTAGTTATTAGATTCAAGTGTGTGACTTTTAAACAGTCAACATTTTCTTCTTTCTATATCTTGTAATGTGCACTATCGTCGTTCTTAATTGACATAAAAAATTGGACCACTTTGCGTTAAAGATTTGGTATACTTGAATACAATCAGTAAGATCAAGTATATATACATTATGAATGTACGCTGCTGATAGCTCACAAAAACTAACAATTGCTTTTCTGACTGATTTCAAAAATTTAATTTCATATACAGCTTTGAAAATCAAAACCTGCATTTTCTTAGTACCGCATAATCATGTGTAACTGTCATAGATTTGTTAAAGTTTCAAGATAATAATGATAATAATAAACTGAAAACGAGCTTACTGACAGTGTTGAATTATTAGTTGATTTCGCTATCAAAACTATATATGAAAATACTTCGACATCAACATCAATTACCCACAATGGAGCATAGGCTGCCAACCAGTATGCTCCAACCTACTCTGTCCCCAGGCCTGCCTCTCTAGTTCTGTCCAATTTTCGTTCATTCTCCTGTCGGCTATCTCCATTTCTTGGCGTAATGTGTTCCTTGGCCTTCCTCCTTTCCTTCGACCTTGAGAGTTACAAATGAGGACTTGTCTTCTGACTCAGTTGTGTGCTTTCCTCAATGTGTGCCTTATATACTTCCAGAGCGTTTTCCTTTATTTCCTACTCCTCCGCAACCTGGTTTGTCCTCTCTCCCATAGTAGGTTGTTGCTGATACTGTCTGGCCAACGGATCCTCAGTATTTTGCGCAGACAGCTGTTAATAAATACTTGGAATTTGATTACAGGTCTTCTCGAAAGCACACAAATCGCAAGAGCAGATATGATAGCCCCAAACAGACAGACGAACAGACAGATACAACGCAGAACTTCGTACGTACGTACATCAGTTCAGGTTTCCATGTCCCAGCAGCACAAAGACGCAACTGTCAGTTCAAATTCAAGAGTGATAGCAACAACAGAAGTATTAGCAGTAATGGAGAAGATTAGGGAGTGAAGATATGATTTGAGAAGTATAATTCAGTAAGTTATATTTGGAAGGAGAAAGGTAGAGATTATGAGGATTGCAGAAGCTTAGAATTTCATAGAACATAAAGAGTGGATGCACCTGTGCCATTGCAAATGATTCTGAGCCATGTCATTAAAGGTCTTTAACTCTCTATCGTCTCGCGGACCCCAACCAGATAGCCTACATCTACCAACATGACTCAGTCCACTTGTCAGTGACTTCATGCATTTGTGCCATGTTTGAAGTCACCGACAAATGACCAAGAAAGATGACAGTATTTTTTCTGAGCTCACAAATACTCTGTGAATTTCTGTGAATTTAAAAAATTCACTACTTTCTGATCAATTCTCATTGTGTTTATTTGTTCAACATCAAATTTTTTTGAAAATTACTTCTTCTTTTTACAAATCATTTAACTCATCATTTTCTACATGAATAAAATCAAAAAAAAAATAATTTTTTCGGAAACAATGTTTTTAAACAATCCAAAATCATCCAAGAAGTTTATGCATAAAACATATTCAGTAGTATAACATAGAATAAAATAAAAAAATTGTATTTTTTAAAATGCTTCACATTCTTCTGAAAGAAACAATTTACAAATATGGTGATGCAATTGAAAATTTATAATACAATCAAGAATTCAAGTGTAAATCCTCTCTCTCTGTTTTGCATCAACTAATCAAACAAATAAAAACACAGTGTTGCGTAATTTTTATTCATGATAAAAATATTTTGGTCCAGTTGTGTTTGTGATGATGATGATGATGATGTTGATGCTGTAGTCTAATGATGCCTAAAAAACTGTGTAACCATTGTATTGTTTTGACTTGATTTTCAGTTGAAAAGATAAATTTTAGTGAACTACTTACAAACAAATTACAATAACTAGTGAAAATATTTCAACATGAATATAAACTATCAAAATGTCCAACTTGATTGAAGGATTACTTGAATTGACGCAATTCAGTATCATTATTCATCATGTTACTATTGTAAAGTTATTCAAAGTATCAGATAATTTTTTCGAACTATGAATTAATCGGAAAAATGAGTGCATTTTGAGTTCATAGTGTTAAAATATTTTTAATGATGAAAGATGTTTTATGAAAATTTTCTTACACCAGAACCTGTCATAGTGTGAATATGTGGTCTGTACAACCACGTTCAGGTCTAAGAACGAGCCTGATTTTTAGTTAGGTGTCGAAATATTATCGAGACTAACAATTCAGACACTATATTACTTACTTACGCCGGTTACCCCCATTGGAGTATATGCCGCCTACCAGTATTCTCCAGCTTACTCTTTCCTGGGCTTCCCTTTCCACTTCTTTCAAATTTTTGTTCATTCTGCTCACATCTGTCTCCGTTTCTAAGCATAGTGTGTTCCTTTGCCTTACTCTTTTCCTTTGAACTTGAGGGTTACAAGTGAGGGCACTGGCAACACATGAGACATCATGAGACGATATGCACTGAGAGAAAGGAACGAAAATGATGAAAGATTTGCAAACCTATGTGATTTCAACAAACTGGTCATCGGCGGCACAGTATTCCCACACAAACTTATACACTAAGTTACATGGATTTCACTGGCTCGCACTACTCAGAACCAAATCGACCATAACTTTATCAATAAAAGGCTTAGAAGGACCATGAAGGACGTGAGAACCAAGAGAGGAACTAATATACCTTGTTGCCAAAATGAAAATAAGACTCAAGAAACACTGGATAACGGGGCAGACAACACCACAGAAGTTTAATATAGCTTTTCCTCTGAATATTGACGAACTCAATGAATTCAAGATCACCTTCAGTAATAGGTTCCAGTCCCAAAAAATTAGGTTTTTGTTCATTGACAAAATATACTGCATTCGAGAAGAAGTCGAACCTAGGACCTTCAGACTAAGCTGATTAGTAAAGCCATGATAGGTCATGAATATTCTCTGCTAACAACGAGCTTCATACTAGGACGAAACAGGCATCAAGTACCTCTTGATTCCTTGGTGGTTGTTTTACAAAAGTAATTTAGCTGTAGCTTAGCTTCAGATCGCTACACAAACACCTTTTATTATCGAAAACTATGCATAACTCCTAACTACAAGGAAACCACTGATGATAATTATGATCCTTGATTTTTTACTTAATTATTTCAGTTATCATTGAATTAAGTTGAATATGTGTAACCGATAAATTGAATTTTACTTCAAGTATGTATTGACGATACTACTATGCATAGATGTTTAAAGCGTGGAAAAAAAACATCAAATTATCTAGCTTTAATCTATTCAAATAATCGATCAATTGATTGGTTAGCTGTTCTACATTGTAATATCGATTTGACTAATGCTTAATTATAATCAGTTTTATCATCTCTGATATCAGTTCAATTATCGAAATTAAACTAAACCAACACTTTTCATTGTATTGTATAGTTCAACGTTTACATTACTAAGAAATACTCTACCTGGATCATTTATCTAGACCACCAGTAAAAAGATTCAGAATAGTGAAGAGATGTTTTATCTTCTTAGTTTGAGGACTTGACAGCATTGCACACACTCAGAATCTCACTGCTGATCAATCCCGGGATGTTTAGACTTCAAGGTGATGGATGATATAGTTTTTCAACCCTTTGACTTAAAATCCAGTGCTTTGAATTTTTAACTTCAGTTCATTATCCACTATCCGCCTACTTTCCGTTCTTACACTGATGAATTGATCATTTACATTTACTTATGCCGAAATTCCAGTTGCTCATCAAATTATTGATTGAGTTAATTTTCAAATGAATGTAATTGTTTCAAAGATTAATTATAGATTTAGTTCATGCATATTCTATTACGTCTAGTTTGTTGATACATTGAACGCCAGGATAGACTGCTCCTAGATTTGATATTTTCGAAAGAACATAGACAAATTTACTGTAAACTGATGACTTAAGCTAAACACAAAGATCCTTTTCACAATGAACAACTATGAATTCAAGGCATTGTAATTGTCAGAACTGATCATAAGCAACTATCTCAGTACTTACATGTGTCTTATATCTACTGAGGTGAAGTGTTGATGCTTAAGTAAGTAAGTAAGTAAGTAGGTAAGCTACGCTAAAAAGTTGCTGTATTTTTCATTACCGTTTAACAACAACAACTGAATTCCATTGCACTTTTATCTTCAAATTTAGTAAGAAGTTATTAGACACTCTGCATCTATCTTTAGAGTGATGTCATTGTTACGACAATGTAACAAGTTTAAGCAAATGACAATGTGAAAAAACTTGAACCTTGAACTAGACAATAATCAAAGATACTTAATTCACAACTAACAAGACATGAATAATGTACAGTTAAAAAGTGGAATTAATTTTCTTTTTTTTTTCCAGACTATACAAACTACAACAGTGACAACAACTTTCAATCCAGGCATTACACAACCATCTGGTCTACAACATTTAGATATACTTTCACGTTATTCACGATTTTATCTCTTAATTGAACAATATTCACCAATAGTTAATAATCTCGATCGATATATCAGTCCATTATGGATACCGATTGCTTTGATTGGTTGTATCCTGTGCATGATAATTTATGCAAATCCACAATGGCGAAAATCACTGAGACAAGATTCTGGCATATTAATGAATCCATATGGTTATGGTTCATTGTCGATTTATTTATTGATTTTATCCATATTACATTTAGTCCAGTGTGTACTAGTGATCATTATTGATTTGGATACACCATGGGATACTGGATTGTTAGCATGGAATAGTTTAATGTGTCCATTGTTTCATTGTTTATGGACAGGAAATCGACTAGCAATTATATTGATCACTATAACATTAGGCATTGAAACACTTGTATTATTGCAAAGAGAAACAAATTTTCCAACTAATACTATACTACGTTGGATAATAGCTGATGGAAATAGTCGTAAATCAATACGTATCTCTATTGGTGTTATTCTGTTGGCTGGAGTTTATGGTCTAATTGAATTAGCCTATTGGCGTGTACAATATTACAATGTTGAATATGAGATAACTCAATCACCAAATCATATTAGTTTATCAGCATCCTCATCTTCAGCAGCAGCATCAGTAACATCGTTAAAATCATCGGAACCTTTGGCAAGATGTGAAGTTGCCGGTGGATTTCAGTATTGGTTTGCAATGAAACCCATAAATCGATATGACATTTTCACAGAAATGGATGTCACTAAACAAACTGCTGAACTTGCAGCTAGTTATTTCGATTATCAATGGATAACTGGCATGATTATTGACTGTCCACTTGCATTATGCAATGTATGCATAGGTTTAGCAATTATACGAGCTTATTTTATGGATGATTTAATTATACGTCCAAGATATGCCGAGAGTCGTGCAACTGTATCAAGAAGAAATCGATTTGAGGTATTACATATAGCTATAATAAGTATTATACAAGGATTATTTCGATTACCTAGTGCATTATTCACTATGTTTGATCCTTTAACAAGACCAGGAGAGATGAATTTAACAGATACCGAGGTAAACTAAGAATAAATATATATATATTTTTAATAGTCTAATGAAAGTAACCTAGGAAAACGTATCTTTTATTGGTAGGTTAATATTTCACTTACTAGACTAGACAATGGAATGGAATATGTAAAGTGCTCTTTGAATATCAATTAAAATCTGTACGTGAGTAGTAAATTAATGACTGACGATATTTATAGCCAATAGAAAGGTAGAAGTGAATAGACTATGTAAACAATCATACACGTATGGACAAATAAGTTTGAAAACAATTTGAAACCTAGAAGCAATGGACAGCTGTTTCATCTCAGTGTGAGACTCATCACCAGTACGCACCCACATCGTTGAATGCTGGCTCAGTGGTCAATAGGTTAAGTGTACGCTCCCGAGATCCAAGGTTCTGGGTTTGATTGCTGCTCCAGGATTCGTGGGTGTGTACTACTGATGAGTCCTATACTAGGACGAAACAGCCGTTCAGTGCTTTCAGGTTTCCAATGGTGGTCTAACTCTCATCGATTCATGATTTTACTGGAACCCAACAATCTTCTCATTCCTATAATGACAGTCATCATGTTCCCATCAGTGACTAGCTTTGCAATGCACTTCTCAGAAACCTAGTGAGAAGTCGTAACCAGTGGAGTTTGATCGTTTCGATTGTGAGGCAGTTAACCATCGAAGACAATGGATGAGGTCGAGAAATTTCGAAAATACATAGTTAAGTCGGCAATTAAATTATAGCGTAAGATATTAACGGAAATTCATTGATTCTTGTTTAACCCAGTTTAATCTCTCTGGCAAGACAGGTTGTGTAAACATGATTGAAAAACGGCCAACTACATTAGTGAAGCTTACTGTCTACTGATTGATTTCGCTATCAAAACTATATATGAAAATACTCCAACATCAATATCAGTTACATATCACTAATTTACAAATGATAAGCTGAGAAATCAAAGTCAAATTTGCTGTTTTGCTAAAACGTTGTTAATTGAGTGTGTCCGTACAATACTTGATACTCCCTGGTGTACATTTTTATCAAACACCTTTTGCCCTAGATGCTATGAACATTAGCTCCCCTTTGTTGTCTAATTCATGGAGAACAAGTTTTGTCCTACTTTGATATGATCTCCTTATAATGCATAATAAAGAAATAATAAGATTTCGAGTTTTAACCTTCAACATAAGATCATATCTCACTCGAAACTAGATTCATTCATGTGATTTTTCCTTTATAGAAAGAAACCTGAACACATGATCAGTGGATCCTAATCAGTTTAATGCCTGTCTATTCCTTAAAGATGATCGATTTTTATCGACTAAGTTATAATACTGTCACTAGTCTAAACTACTAGACATCGCGTGTACTGAGTTTTGATGTTAAGGGCGATTAAACAGCAACTATGAACAAAGGTTTTATGTCACTTGGTACTTGTTCACAAGATACTGCCACAGTCTTGATGAAATCGATGATCCTGATAGAGGAAGCAAAACCCAAATCTGAAATTTTCCACGTTGAACCTTGAACTATTTAGTATGAATTCACCTTCGAGTGTACCGGCTATGTTATTAACAATATCAAGATATATGCTTATCCAGGCTATTTCAATAAAATTCATATGTTTTACAACTGAAAATGATAAAGATAATCTTTATCATAAAATATCCTCACGTAACAATAAATATTTGTTCCAACATAATTCATTAATTTTCAACATTATATGGTCTCGATTGCATAGACATTTGAACTCGAAATGTTTAACTTATCCTTTGAACATGGAATCCGATTCCAGTCATTATCGATTTGATAATGCGTATTCCAGTTTGTTAATAGTGAAAAATAATATATATATGGAAGAATTAGTATGAAATCCCAACGTTAACCATATCATTATTGATTTACATCTGATATTAGTCAACTTCAGATGTTAGTTTTTTCAATACAAAACTGTAGAGCGCGTGGAGACAGGATGTAGGCAGTGTGTGAGGTTGCACAAGACCGTGAATTGATCGAAGTCAGACATTAACACTATTAGTTAACGGCTCATTGGTCTAGAAGTTGGGCGTTCGAGCAAATGAACGAAGGTCCTGGGTTCGAATCCTACGAGGTGAAGGGGTCGTGGTTACACACTGCTAATGAGTCTCGTACGACGACGAAACTGCCGTCCAGTGCTTCAAGGTTTCTAATGACGGTCTAACACTGATCGGTTGATGATTTTAATGAGTAACTTAACAATCTTTACAACCCCATAACGATTGTAAATACACAAAGGTATACAACGAAGAAATCTTCTGTAAATGGTTAAGATCAATTGATTATTGGGTGAAAAGGAGTTAGTAAGATATTTATTAACTGAAAATCCCTGAGAAAGTTAAAATTTTAACTAATGTTGAAAACCTAAGCTTAGCCAATTATGAAATTAGATGATTTATTGAAATAATTTCAAAGTCTAATTACAAATTTTCTGAAAAATCTTTTTTTTTCTTTATCTTGTTTAATATTTATTTCAACAGGTCCTGAAAGACAATGCATGGCAAAGATTTTTCCTGATGTTATCAGCAAAAGTTGTTGGAATTGAATTAGGCGATTTAACAGCTACTTTATTAATGCCTATTTGTATTGGATTCTGTCAAGAGTTTAGAGAGAATTTTTATAGTCTGCTGAAATTTAAAACACCTCACAAACTCAAAACTACTCTCTTATCATTAAATCCTAAACATTCAGTGTCACAAATGATTACACCATCTGCTTCGTCAGACTTACCAACTGATTTCAGAGAAAATGTACACAATAAAAAGATCAAAAGGCCTCATCGTCCGCATCAACATTACACTGACAAGAATCCAACTAGTTATCATGGCATTAATTCTAGTCTGGCAAATCAATCAGTAAATCATGACATGTTAGACGGATCAATGTCTGAAAGATACTCATCAAATTGTCATCTTCATAAACCACTTAATGAATACAACACAGAAATACAAAGTGAAACTGATCCAGAAACAACCTATGATAATACAAAGTCATTTCATCATCACTGCGATGATTATCATCTCCATCATCATCACCATCTACATCATCAACATCCTCACCGTGTAAATCAACATGATTTGAATCCAGCGAAACAATGTCAAATGAATGCAAATGCAAATAAACCGGTGAAATATGAAAAATTCACTGATACATGTGAATATCAAAAACAACCACATTCAAAATTGATGACATGCAAATCTGATTGGGATTTACATGCTTCCGTGCCTAATTCATTATTTTGTTCAATTAATAAATTACCAACTCAATGTTATCATCATTCCAAGCCAAGTTCGTTTACTAATCTTTACAATGAAGAAAATGATTGTGAACAATTTCAGTTGAATAAAATACAACCAATATTAGAACATCGATCATATGTTTAAAATCTCGGGGAAAAGTAAAATGAAACCAATTTTGATGACAATTTTCAATTTTTATTCGTTTGACTACATTAATTTGTAAATTATTATGATTATAATAATAATAATAATAATAATAATTATTATTATTATTATTATTATTATTATTGTTATTATTGATAGTGATTTTCAAGTATACGATTGCAGTAACACATGACAATTTGTTATCAGTTTATGTCTTCATTTCCAACTACAAGATAAAATCAATATTACTTCAACATTTAAGTAAATACTTACCTACTTACTTATTTACTTACTTACTTACTTACTTACTTACTTACTTACTTACTTACTTACTTACTTACTTACTTACTTACTTACTTACTTACTTACTTACTTACTTACTTACTTACTTACTTACTTACTTACTTACTTACTTACTTATGCACTTACTTACTTACTTATGCACTTACTTACTTACTTACTTACTTACTTACGCCTGTTATCCCAAATGGAGCACAGGTAGCAGAAACTCCCTTTTCAACCAACTCTGTCAATGACGCCTTAAGGTTGGGGGATGACACCATTGTCAGACATCGAATAGGTAGTCGTGTTTTACGACTTAACGAAATGTGAACTCCTAGTTTATACATTTACGTCTAGGTCTGAAACCGGCCTGGTTTTCTCGAGTCTGCTTTTCACGAGCTCCAATTAGTGTTTGAAGTATTACTGAAGTTAATATTTTAGGACATTATATTAATGAAACTGATTACCCTGTGATTTTCACAGTTATTATCGTTATTCAGAAGTATTTACAATTTAGCAAAACTCAGCAACAATAGATTAGAAAAAGTGGAGGATTAGTTTAACAAGTTGTTACTTTATTATATATGTATTATTTATTTAACTCATTTAATAAGTACAAATTAGTAAACCCGGTTTCGAGATACATTTCTAAGATAAGGCTTGGTGATGCTACTAGACCGTTCAAACCGAAATCGGAGGTGAGTTTAAACCTATGACTGAGAAAAACACTTAAACCTAGTGATCCAATTGTGGTGCGCGCTACTTATAAGTAGTATATGACGCGAGTGTCATCGTAATGTCTGGCTGCAGAAGATGGGGTAAGATCAAGAAAGGAAGAGTGGGAACACAATGGAATTTGTATGAAACGCATGAATAGTGAAATGTCAGACAATGGATTGAAGATTTGCAAATTAACGGTTACGATATGGTTTTCCTATCTTACTGAGTAACTCTGTAATTTTCGTTAAATTCAATTCGGTTTCCCTCACCTGTGTTCTGCTTCACTACAATAGGTCTTCCTTTCCAGTTCATCATAAGTACTGATCGTTCTTTTGATGTCTGTTTCAAACTCTCTGCGTAATCTGTCCTTTAGTCTTCCTCTTCTCATTTAGCATCGAGGACTCTAAGTTAGAGCTTGTTTTGTGACACAGTTGAGTGATTTTTTCCTCACAAGGAATCTAGTTTAATCTCTCCCACAGTAGGTTGTCACTGATAGCCACTAACCGATAGGAATATTAAACATGATTTAAGGTATGTTGTAAATCAATAACGGAAGTTAGAAATAATTATCTCATGAGTAATAAATTATAAGCTCCATCCACTGTAGTATATTTTGAAGCAAGAAATGAAACTTCTAGGCTCTATTTTAAATTCAACATTGTCCACATTACTAAGATAGTGTTTCACATTAGAACAGAACAATTGTCCGACATCTAACAATTTTTTATTGTTTTTAAAATAAAATAGTTTTCTAATGTAGCTGATAGACTGATTAAAATGAATCAGAATATAACTTGTTTTAAGATACTTGTAAAGCTTCAAATCAATATTTTGTTAGTTTTTAATCAGAAACGTTTAGACTTAGACTGTCTCATCTATTCAATTTGTGAAAGTTCCGTTTGTAAGTTTAATATCTTGCTTACATATCATCAAGTGGTTTATAGAAAAGGAATTCCTATTTAAAGACATCTCTTTTTCATGAATCGACATTTGTTTAAAAAATCAGTCAAAATAAGTATTAGGCAGCAACTATGTTCTGACTTAGAAAGGCATCATCCAGAAGATACAAGTGTTTATTAACAGTTGTTTACACAAAATACTTCGTATTCGTTGACCAGACACCATCAGCAACAACGAACTGTGGGAGAGAACAAACCAGATTCCAGTGGAGGTGGAAATCAGGAAGAAGCGGTGGAAGTGGATAGGACACACACTACGAAAAGCACCAAACTGCGTCAAGAGACAAGCCCTCACATGGAACCCTCAAGGCAAAAGGAAAAGAGGAAGGCCAAGGGACACACTACGCCGAGGAATAGAGAAAGATATGAGAAGAATGAACAAACATTGGAAGGAAGAGGAGAGGGAAGCCCAGGACAGAGTTGTTTGGAGAAAACTGGTGGGCGGCCTATGCTCCATTGAGTGGGTAACAGGCGTAAGTAAGTAGTAAGTAAGTAAGTTATGTTCTGACTTAAGACTATGAAAATAAAAAATATCCCCCCTTTATACACGACATTAGCTTTAACTCAAGATGATCAAGTCTCACTTACAGCGCTTTACCTTTAAACCTAATGAATCACAAAATAGAATGATTCATGCATCCAAGTTCAACCAGTTTGCAAAATGGTTTGAGAATCATACAAAACTGTCTACCATATGAATATTCATTCATCATTTTGTCATTTATAAGTTAATACTATGAACCACTACTAAAATCACCCTGAAACATTTGAACTTTTTACAAGGTTGAATTTATCTGATTACCGAAATTTGAAATTGAACAATCATTACCGGTGTAATGGATGATCAGTTAACTTTGGCCAAATCCAACCGGCATGAATTGGGATAAGTTAATGTTTGCAGACAAAAACACAATTAGACAGATTACATACATAAAACCGTATTTTATGCTGTAAACTTATTGTTTCATTTGTGTTTGCATTATGTATCTGTGTATTAATATATATTTCTGGTTATTGATGATTATTTATTGATTAAAAAGTCGGACATGAGTACTTTTATTTGATAAAAAATTTACACCAAGTAGTACTGGTATTGAGAAGTCTAAGGCAGGCGCGGAAATATTGTATTATGGGAATCACACTCTTAGTCAATTAAAAACGAAAACACTACATTGAAGACTCTATTTGCACACCATCTTTGAGTCGTGACTTCCAACGCTCTATCCTTCTTCCATTCCTGCTCTCGCTTCCTTTACTTCTTGTTGCTACTCCATTTACTTCTTGCTTTTGCTCCATTTGCTTTCCGTTTTCCTCTTCTGACCGTGAGACTTCTTTCACGTCCCTTCTTATACTACTTATATCGTTCGTATAAGTAGCACACACCACAGTATTATCTGTACAAATCATTTGATTTCTTCAACAATTCAAACAAATCTAACTAATTAGTATCAGCATGTTTAATATCTGTCTATGGTTTATTTTTCTCAATTACTCAACATTAATTTAAGATAACTATTCGTTATCTACTCATGTAGATTAATAATTTGATCCTAAGAATGTTAGATGTTGATGGTGTTTCGTTCTCTGGGCTAAATGTTTTGGGTTGTGGAGATTTCATTGTTCTTCTGAACTATATCATCAGCACAAACTTCAGATAGATGATGTTGTTATACACCAGTGAGAATAATACAATTTAGATCAGTGTACGCAGAATACTTAGTAGTCGAATAAAACAAGAAAAAACGTATATCAGCTGATGATGTTGTTCAGAAGAAGAACAATGAAAGCTCCACAACCCAAAATGTCCAGCTCAGAGAACGAAACACCAACACCACAATCATCCACTTGAGCTACTACAAATTTTCTCCACTATCTACAATTAACTGTACTGTGGACTAGACTAGCAAATGATTAGTTGTATACTAAACATGAATAATTCCCTTGAAAAATGTAGATTAAAAATTATATATATATATATATATATATATATATATATATATATATCATGAGGAATTGAACTGAGGCCCTTTAAGTCACATGACGAGTATTCAACTTCTAGACTATTGAGTAAACATTTAATTTCTTATATATGTAGTTTTAATCAGACTGAGATATTGCGAAACTGCATTCCAGTGACACTGGGAGGTAGTTGCGTCGCATTTAAATCTACTGAATTCCTGTTATCACATTTCTTCGGGAGACTATGAGCACCAAAGTTTGCTCCTGATAGGGTGATTGGTGTGGACTTCTGAAGAGGATAAAATACCTATCCGGTGATTTCTGGTTTTAAATGGCTATCCAGCAGAGGTCAGTTAGTGATATAAAGTATAGGGAAAGCAATATTCCCGTTTAATTATTCAAAGTTATTTCCTAAATCAGTCTCTTATATACATAGATATAGACGTTATTCATAAAATTATTAAGCAAAAATTTATGCGATATAAACGCTAAAATACTTTTGATTTATTCACAGCATTGTAAACACTATTTGTTAAGATTAAATATAGTTTTGTGAAAATTTTGATTGAATACTATTAAGATAAAACATTTATTGAACTTGCTAAACTTAAAGGGATATTTCACTTAAATAAAACGACTGAAAACTAAGGTTCAATGAATTGTCGTTTTTTGTTTTAGTATGACGCTCTTTAGAATCACTAAACAATGTGGATCGTTTGAAGTTAAAAATGTTAGTGATATGGCTTAAGCGCTACACTTTAATTTGATTAGTTTCACGAAATCAAAATCAAGAAGAGGTTTTTATGAATGAAAATTAAATTCAATTAAGTCTCCGATACACACAAAAATCATGAATTAATTATTGTTAGGCCACCAGTACAAACCTCGAAGCACTGAAATGCCGTCTTGTCCTGGTATGTGACTCGTCAGCAGTGCCCATCCACTACTCCTGCACCTTTCAGGACTCGAACATAGGACCTTCAGCCTTACACGCGGACGCCCAACCTCTGAACACTATGTACTCACTAGTGACTAGCTTCATTAAGAATTTCTCGGAGTTCTAGTAAGAAGATGTGACCAGTGAAGTTCAACCCTATCCAGTGTAGCCAGTAACTACCAAACACAAATGGGTGGAGTCGCGA